TGAGAGGAGGGATGGTTAAGATAGGGTGGGGGCAGGGGGGGGGGGGGGGTACTCTTATGTTTTGCATGCCTTAGCGGTTAGACCATTGGACCGCCAAAAACATAGCGAAACGGAAGAAACAAAACCGAGATGCAGCGACCACGAAAACCTGACGAGGCGTTGGTGTGTACACGACGCTAGATATTACAGGGTGAAACTGCTAGAGCCGGCTGCAGAAAGGGGGTCCCGAAGGCAACACGTCTACCAACAGCATCAGCACAAGCACCCGCTCATGACCACAATCATTATGGCGTGTACTGTATATGTACGGCCCAAAGAAAGAGGAAGCGAGAGAAAGGAGGAGGAAAAAAAACGGCGCATAGAAACAGGCACACAAGGGGGGCGATAGTTCTGACAAAAAAAAAATGAAACCGCACAAAGAAAGCAGGCACACACAAAGGGGGGGCCGGGGGACACACACGATGCCGAGACAAACACTTCCGACACAAGTCTTTTTCTTTCGCCCAGAACATAAACCCTGCATACAGAATAACTCGGAAAACTCAATGTGTGTCGGCCGAAATCACCGGCGCCGTACACCGGCAACCGGTAGGCACTAGACAGGGACCACTTCTGCCGTCACTCACCTCAGCACAGCGTCGGTGAGTGACGTTGACCATCCCCTCCGTGCGGTGCCCGCCGCAAGCGAGCGGGATCCTATCGCTGTCGTTTCCGTACAGCGGCTGCCTCATGCACCCCTGCTCGGAGCACCTCCGTTTCCGGTTGACGAGCGTCATCCCGGCCAACTGGGGACGGAGAGAGAGATAGAGAGAGAGAGAGAGAGAGAGAGAGAGAGAGAGAGAGAGAGAGTTTCGAGCGATGTGGCGGTGAGCGAGGACCGGCTTCGCGCGATTAATCAGTTAACGAGGAACTATAAACAGGGAGGGGTACATACGCAGACCCTATTTTCCCTAACCCTAAGCCCAACCCAACTCCCCCGATGGCATGCTATATCCAACATGCTTACTTAAAAGAAAAACTCGGGGAAGGCTACCCGTGAGAGACTAGCGGCGGGGATTGGTGGCGAAGTCGGTGATGGTTGACAAGGTGGAACGGCAAGCACACGGAGAGAGACCAAAACCCCTCTCCTGTGAGGCAGAAGCCTCCTCCGCCGTGGAAACGCCCTGTACCAATCGCCCACAAGAACGCACGCCGCAGCTTAGAAACACAACGAGCAGTGTCTCCCCCCAAAATACAGAAACAACCCGCAAGCTTATTGTAGAAAACACAAAGTGCAGTCCCCCCCCGCCAAAAAGAAAGCGAGAATTTCAGATGGATCCTACCAAAGGGGGGAGGAGTCTGAAAATGGGGTTTTACTGGAGTTGATGCTGTAGAGGTGGCATTTATGTTATATGGCGAAGAGAGTGTCTGCGTGCATGTAGGGGAGGAGGCCTGCGTGCCGAGATAAGACAGCTGCTCGCAGGAAAGGTATCCGCCACCCCGTCCGTGTCGGGTGTACCTTGTGGGTCCCGCAGTACGAAGCCTTGAGTTCCCCCACGCCCCCGAAGCTGGGCCTCTTCTTGCACCCGTCCACCTTGCACGGCATCACGCGCCACACGTCGCCGGCCCACGCCGACGAGGGCACGCCGCCGGCGGTGGTAGAAACCCTGCCGGCCCCGCCACCGCCCGTGTGGGGGGACGGCTCCGTCGCCGCGGTGGCGCCGCCGTTACTAGCGAAGCGGCCGCCGCTCCGGCCTTCCGCCTGCGGCGACGGCAGCCCTGCAGTGGCAGCCCCTCCGTCGTTGGAGTCCGACCCCCCCGCGTCCATGAAACCGCCGTCGTCGCTGAAACCCCCGCCGCTGCCGCCGCCGCCGCCGTCACGCTGTGGTGTGGAAGGAGAGTACGGCGGCGCCGCGCGCTTCCTCTTGCCGCCACCGCCGCTTCCGGCAGCAGCAGCGGCGGCGGTCCCCTGCAACCGGCCGTTACTACTGCTGTTGCCGTTGCTGTGGTGGTTTCGAGAGCCGAGGTTAGCCGCGGCTGCGGAGGCGGCGGCGGCGGTGCTCTCGCGAAGGCTGGCCGCCGTCGCGGAGCCGGTTGCCGTTGCCCCCCCGCCGAGCTGCTTGGGCGGGGCTCTTCCGAAAGGGCGTTTTTTCGTCATTGCCGTTAACGCGTCGTCGGGTCCGGCGGGGAGGAACAGACACAACGAAGGCAAGGGATGGTCGGGTGTTGACTCCGTCGGCTAGACGCGGCCTGGACATATTTCAGATAAGTAGTCTACGCAGCAAAAATAATTAAGCAAACATACGGGATAAACTATTTATTCAATCCGTGCTTTGGGGTTAGGGTCAGGGATAGGGATAGGGTCTGCGTGCCCCCTTCACTATTCTTTTTCTAGATACTCTTAAAATCCTGCGTAGGCGGTCCTTCAGATCGTATGTGGCACAACAAAATACCCCCCATATAAGATGGTATGCAACACACACTACATTACCACACCAAGGTTGAAATATTTGTACCGGCCAAACTGCTCTCAGACCACCTAATAGGGCGACATAAGACACCACACAAACATACGACAGAAGTACACCGAGTGAAAATTCTTGTATGCATAGAAGCAACAATGTTGTCGCCAGGGTGCTTATCTTGTGTCTTGTACCGCCGTAGGTGGCAAAACCTTTGCCGCACTGATCATGTTTACAGAGTCGCCTGCGAACGCCAGGGAGCGCCCAATGGTGTCTGTCCGCCCGGCCCTCGGTACGAAACACAAAATTTCTCTGAACACATCTCGGGAACTCTACTTTGGCTGTCCCGGTTTCCCCCCCATGTTTACAGAAATTTTCGTGCTGCTACTGCTGTACGGAGGAGCTCGCGTCTGGGGGTCAACTCCTTCGAGGTACTGCCGAGTCCACGCGCTTCCCTCTGAGTACGCCATCATACAGTTCAAAGAGCAACTCCAGGATATAGGCGGGCACCGCTGCTGCTCGTGCCTGCAATCCACAACCTCGTGTGTACGCACCACCCACTCACCCGAAGCTCTTGAGAAGGAACAGCTGCAGCTCGCGGATCTGCTCTTCCTTCTTACGTAGAGAAATGAGCTCTTGGACGAGTAGGGCCTACACACGTCAAGACCAACAACGCGGGCGCGGTGCTACGAGGATCGGCTTCTTGTGTGTCGGGGTGGGTGGGCGTCGGTCGGGATGGCCGCACCCACCAGCGTTACGTAGCAACAACATGAGAGCAGCAACAAGGCGAGGATTATGCCAACACCAGCAAAACATCAACGACACCGTACCCACCAGCGTCAGCCACTTAGCATCAACGACAACAACATGAACAACAACAGCATAATGCCCAGCAATAATCAACAACAACAATGACACCGCACCCACCAGCGCTAGCAACAACATGAGCAGCAACAACAAAGGGGAGTACGCCAAAACCAGCAACAACATCAACGATGCCGCACCCACCAGCATCACCAACTTAATAGCATGAACAAATACACAGCAATATGCAGCAATAACCAACAATAACGATGACACCGCAGCCATCAACATAACCAACAACACGAACAACAACATGAACAGCCAACCACAAGAACCAACCACCGCACATCACCACCAACATCAACATCAACAACAAGAACCAGCCCCCCGCGCGCGCCCAGCAACGACGTGAGCAGTAGCAACAGCAAACCCAGCAGTGACATCCACCGCACGATACAATCAACAGCACCACCACCGCCATCACGCCACCACTAGGAAGCATAGATCGTGCACCCGCTTCTGAATAGTCTCGCACGGTGTTGGTGACATTGATTGGACCACCCCCCCCCCCCCCCCCCCCCCCCCCGGGACCCCCC